ACCTTTTCTAACTGAATAACCTCAAAAGGCCTTTGTTGGTAGGAGCAACACTAGTAAGGATACTGGGCACTTTGATATTGAAAGCAACAGAATGCAGAAGAATCTCAGATGAGACTCAAATTCAAAGCATTCCTTATTAAAATCCAGAACAATCCAAATCTAAGTCATAGACAATTTTTTTTAAAAGAGAATGGGACTGAGGAAATCTTGAGTAGAACCATCCCTTTATTTTGCATTTTGTGCTCCACAAAGTCACCCTTCCCCTTGCACAAAGGGCTACAGCACTCAGTTTGCCACACAGCCAAGAGAGGGTTTCTGTGATGGTGTCTCCAGCCACATCTGACCACGATGACACCACAGGTCCCCAAAGGGCAGCATATCTTGCATATTTGCTCAGCCTGTTTTAATACCTGGAGAATTTCACCTATTTTCCAACCGAATTCAGTCTCTGACTACAGAAATCATGCCAGCTCAACATCTCAGCCTGATTTATAGACATTTCTTCGTACTGAAGAGAGAAGACAAGTGGAAAAGCAGCTGAACAAACAGCAGTCCTTAGGGATAACGAACAAGGCAAAACCCAGTCGGTTTGAACAGAACTAATTGCATCCCTTGTCAGCAAAAGCTCAGGAAAGCCTGTTGTCCCACGTATGTGCACCCACCATGCTTCTGCATCACTAATTTCAACTTTCCCTCTTTTCAAATCAGTCTCCTGTGTCAGCCTCAGTCTGCTGCTGTTATTACTGATGCTGAAGGAATTCAATAGCCATTAACCACTAAACCTAGACTAGCGGGAGCCAACTGTTACTGATATAGCTATTTCCAAAAAGACAAACAGCACCAGCAGGCTGACAGATTTTAAGGGCTGTTTCATGTGTTCTACAGCAAAGAACAAAGTATCTTGCCTGACAATGTCATGGGTGGTTTTCATTAAATAATGATCACAAAGCATTCAGCACAAACACGTATTTGACTGCATGCTCAAACAACTTACCTGTAGATCAAATCAGGACTTCAGTGTTAGAGGTAGGAAGAGGCACCCAGCATCCCCTTCTTTACAGAGTTCATAATTTCGCTTTTTCCATCATAACTCTTTGTCCTGAAGGGCATTTTTTTCCCCTGTGCTTGCTATCTCATGGGGAACACAAATAGAAACAGAAGGGAGTCATGGCTTATCCCAGCAAACCTGCAGTGTAAATACCCAATGCAAAAATACTAGCAAGTACTTCACACGCAGTGATGTGAAGCACAGGACATTTGATGGTTTACCCAAGAACAGCCTGACTGAATCAGTGGCTGAACTGGAAAAGAGTTTAGACCATCCAGTTTTCAGGAGATGCTTTTACTAATCTCTCCAAAGAGGTTTGCTAGATAAAGCAAACATCTGTTGACCATCCAACATTGGCTTCTGCTTGGAGCTACTCATTTTGCTAAAAAATTTCAAGAAAAGGTCTCATTATGGGACTACTATAAAAATTAATATTCACCCAGAAATAAGAAGATTACTCCCTGGGTGTGAATGTATCACCCTGAAAATACATCAAAATCTAGCAACCACACTAAAAGCAATGCCTTGCTCTCTTGATAGTAGAGAACATGTCTAGTCAAATTTGGACCCATTATATCAATTCTGCATGGCTTTTGGATGCTCGACCCAGCAAGCATCACAAAGCTTCTACTGACCGTTCTCTCAAAAATCTACTCATCTAGCAAGGTGGCCTTAAAGGGGGCCTACAGGAAAGATGGGGAGAATCTTTTTAGCAAGGCCTGTTGTGACAGGACAAGGAATAATGGATTTAAACTAAAGAAGAATAGATTTAGACTAGACATTAGAAAGAAATTTTTTACAATGAGGGTGGTGAAGCACTGGCACAGGTTGCCCAGAGAGGTGGTAGAGGCCCCATCCCTGGCAACATTCCAGGTCAGGTTGGACGGGGCTCTGAGCACCCTGATCTGGTTAAGGCTGTCCCTGCTCACTGCAGGGGGGTTGGGCTAGATGACCTCTAAAGGTCCCTTCTGACCCAAAGCATTCTATGACTCTATGATTCTAAGGTGTTGGCCATAGTTGGAGAGATGATTGTCAGATAATTGGGATTTGTATTGTTTCTTAATCTTCTTTTATTTTTCAAGACTTTGATCACTATGCTAGAGCACTAAGTTGTCATTAGCAGTTGATAAAGCTCCTCCTCTAGCTGGGAAGCCTGCAGCAGTGGACCAGACTGTAGAAGAGAAGATAAGCCCTCAGTGCTGCAAGGAGAGGTGGGTTGTATGCACTAGAGAGATACTCAAGGGTGTACAAAAATAACTCCTGCAAAGGAGTTACTACAATAAAATGTCACTTCAACAGGCAGTGTGTTTGTTAACTGCAGAAAAAGAGGCGAGTTTCAAACTACAGTTTTGGCTTATGACCTTATAAAATGTTGCACACACCACCATTGCTTCCTTTCAACTTCTTAAGTCTACACAGAACAAATTTTGAAAGGAATCCCTTCACATTTGTCCCTGTAACATTTGTCCAGTGTAACATCAGCCCAACTGCAGCACTCCACCCCACTGCAAAAGCACATGACTGTCTGGAGATGGAGTCCTTACAAGAAGATCTGCCAGCAATAAAAAGAACCAACTCTTGGAAGCTGGTAGGCAGCTAGTCTCCAAAATAGTCACCTACTGGTTAGGAAAGCACTGGAAAAAGAGACCTAGCCTTCTAGAAACCTCAAAGTGAGTATCCATGAAAGTAAAGTTAATTGCTGCTATTTGACCAGTTCACCTTGTTCGGTCATGATGATGCATTAGAGTTCAACCTCCAGAAGTGATGCAAGCAGCACTTTAAAATGCATTTATAGTGGTACTCAGCAGAAATGAAAAGCACCTGCCTGGCTTTGATGCTTCTGGAAATCAGGCTGAGGAACCCACAGGTGTTTTAGTGGGTAGTCTCCTTCCTCCTCAACTAACTCAGACAGTCCTGCCCTATCTATTATCAATTACATGCTGACAAGTAAGAAGAGTAAGAACTTTTACAAATTCAGTATATGTAGTATTGATTTTTAACTTGCGTGTTACCTTACATGTAACCCCCTGAGCCTTGCTCTAAACAGCTACCTAAAAGCTGTGCAGAATCAGCTGTCTCAGAGTTGGGTGGTCTTCACAAGCTCAAATAAGGCTGCATTTGACAATTTGGGGAATGCTCAAGACAGACATTGCTCTTCGGCACAGGCTGTACCACATGGTCCAGCACAGCAGAAGCCACCAAGTTCCACACATTTCTAAATCCTCTGGATTACACCATGAGCAGAGACTGAAAAGGACCAGTACAGGCCAACACAGCAGATGACATGTCCCCAGACATCTCACACTTACAGCAGCACTTTGCTAAGTGTTACCGAAATGACAAACAACCCTTTTATCACAACTTCTACATCTTCCTTTTTACCACTCATCATAAAAGAAGAAAGTGACCTAAAAAATAGCAAGAAAAAATTAAAAATGGTGATGTGACACACCGATCCCCCCTCTCTCTGACACATAGTCAGCTCCCCATTACAGATAAAAGGCACAACATGACACAGCCCAGAGAAGTCTTTCCAGGAAAATGTGAAAAAGCATTTTAGAATGCCCTTTTTTTTTTTATTGTTTTTCTTTTCAAGAAGTACTTACTGGCAGCTTTTATGTCAATACAAAAGCTCTGTTATAATCTTCAGTAAATGCCAAATAATTAAATTGATTAACTCTAAATTACAGCATATCACAGCCACATAATTGCCAGGAGAGATTTATCCAGATTAGCTAAACTGAACTCGAACATCTAAAAATCATTTTTCATGTGCGCATTCACTATCTTCCAATTTTGCTTTAACGTCAATGTGTAAATTTGCAATGCATTATTTGCATATGGCACTAGAGGTGTAATAACTCCATAGCGCTTCCACTTCAGGGGTTTTGTAGAAAGAAATTGCCTAAACAGCTACACATACACTGGAGTCTGAGATTAAGAGTACAAAGCATCAAGTAAATTAAATGACTCTACAGCCCTGCACCTGAAAGGTACTCTACCAAAGAGTCTAGACACCAAGAAGATACCTTCCAGAGCGTCTTGGAGAGCAGTTCCACAAGGTGAGCACTGGATGGGTCAGACAGAATGATACCACTTGCAACCCACTGCTATTTCCACTTAGATAAAAAAAAAACTCTACAAAATTTTACACCTGCCTTTCAACAAGAACTGTATCTACAAGCTTTATTTTTAAGCTGGACATACTGCAGATTCCCACTTCAAACTGTGCTCTCTTTGAACCCTTACACACAATCCATGCACGCGCAAGATTTTAGTCATGTCTGGTGTGCTTTTTGCAACTCCACCAATAATGCTTCCCAAGGCTAACTTTTTACATTACAACATTACTAATTAGAGGAGGGAGAGTTAATTTTCTTTTTCTTTTTTTTTTTTTAATTTCTGGAACATCTTTATGTCTTTTCATCCTATGTTGGATATCAAAGCAGCACGGTCCTTTCCCACTATGTTCAGGCCTAGAAAAAGAGGTAACAAGATTTTTTTTTTTTTTTTTTTTTTGGAACAGTGCTAATTAGTGTTTTTTCCTAACCAGTCTAAGTTACACATTCAGAGGACAGTAATGTAGTAAGACTACATTTGGTCTATGGAAAATTTGCTGAACTGCTAGCACCAAAGGGAGCAACTGAGCTGTATCCATGTCTTCTTAAATCTTGAAAATGTTGATATATGTAACTTTTTAATTCCATGTTCATGAAAGTGCCTGTAGATGAGAAACATAACACTACTTCAAACACCAGAGTCCTCCATGAAGACGTGTGAGCAGACGCTATATACATGTCTTAAGAGCTTACTCACTGGCAGCCCGGAAGCTTGCCAGTGTAGTCCAGGATCAGTATTCATTGTTGGGTTTTTTCGTATTTTTTTTAATTTTAAAAAGGACCAAACACATTGTTCTGTAAGAGAGATTTTGACCTCTTCAATATCTTCTTCAAGAGAGGCTGCTCTAGCCTCCCATAGAAGGAAACGCAATAGCTCGTGTTCTTCAGTACATGAAGCATTTGTGCAACTCGCCTTTTCCTAACCCGCTCCAGACACTGTAAGAAAAATCAAATTTAAACCGTGTTATATTCTGCTACGTTGCCATGCAGCTGGAGCCATCAGCCTGCCACGCTTCCAGGTCTGCAACCTGACTCAGGATAAGTCAGATGGGTCAAAGTGGTAGGAATTCCCTTCAAGGAGATGAATCCCAGAAAAAAAGAAAAATATCCTCTTGGCCCATGGCAGAAGGGGAAATCACATACCAGCTCTTTAATTAAAATTACAGCAAGTCAAGTAGCTGATACTTTTCCCCTCTCCTGGTAAGGGGGATGAGACATTGTTCACAAGAGTGTTCTGTCGTGCCTCGCTGATCAACCGGCAGGCCAAGTCCAGGAAGAGTTTTTCCACATTATCCGATTCTTTTGCTGAGGTTTCCAGATAGTACATGTCCTGTGCTTCGGAAAACTCTGCAGCTCTTTGCTGGGAGACTTCCCTCTTATCAGCTAAATCAATTTTATTACCTGCATTGATAAAAGATTTTAAAAAAGGAATCAATTTGACTTCCAAAACAAGTGAAACAGAAGTTTTTTACAATGAGGGAGGTGAAGCACTGGAAGAGGTTGCCCAGAGAGGTGGTAGAGGCCCCATCCCTGGCAACATTCAAGGTCAGGTTGGACGGGGCTCTGAGCAACCTGATCTGGTTAAAGCTGTCCCTGCTCACTGCAGGGGGGTTGGGCTAGATGACCTCTAAAGGTCCCTTCCAACCCAAACCATTCTATGATTCTATGATAAGGGATAAAGAAGAGTTTGGTGTAGTATGTATGTATGGACAGTGGTTTTGATGTGAAACTCTTAGTGCTTGCTCTGCCCTACAAATAATGGATTCCCTGATACACATGACCAAGTTCATTTAATATTAGCTCATTTAATGGAATATGCCCTGTGAACATCCAAGTCAGTTAGCTTTAATTTAGCACCAGTGCATCTGTTTGCTGCTATCAACCGACATTAAAGGATTTTCATTTTAATATCTATTGAAAATTCTCCTGTTCTTGCTCTGAGGAGCACTTAAAATGTCAATTATAGCATATGAGACACTATATGTGGTATTTCTCATGTGATTACAAGCTTTAAAAGGAGCCTGGCACGGAAGGCTGCTTTCCTGTTTCAATATTCCTATGAAGGATTTGGTTGTTGAGGCTCAACAGGCTTGGGGGGCACTCGCAGAGCAAGGTGAGGCAAGAAAACAGCCCCTTCCTTTGGAGAGCTCGGTTTAGCGGAGAGTTGATTAATGCCTCAAGCAAGTGTCGTATATGATTATACCCTATTACTGGCCACTTCACTTCAAACATGATGTTTTTGCCATAAATTAATCTTACAAAGAAGATAACAGACCAGGACCTGCGATAGCAGGGGGCTGCGTCTATGGACTCAGCAGGTTCATGAGGAAACATCTCCTGGCCTTGCTTCTACCAGCAGTTTCGTGGGAGGAAAACCCCACAGCTAGCAGGAGGAAGACTGCACTTCCACTGGAAAGCCACCTCTCATTGCCCTCCTCTTATTTGAGATGCCCTTTCTCTCTCGATAAAGCAGTTTCTTGGACCTGTAGCATGCACTGAAGTTACCTTTCTAAACAAATTATCACTCAACACAAGCGGTTTATGGGTGTCACTGCCTTCAAAGTGTGTGTTATGGCTGTTATCATCTATATTTTGTGCTGTAGATGCTGATAATTAACTTAATGTTCCCTAGAAATTCACATATACATTTGTTAGTCATTAATTATTTCTGCACCATTTGTACACATGCAATATCCTTTGCGTGGAGTATAATTTCCTTGTATGGAAGCTCCTTAAATCCCAACGCTCACTTGCAATACCACTGGGGCATGTAAAACTCAAAAGATTTTTAAAGCCACCTTAAACACATTTTACAATCCTCTAGATTTTTCTTTTAAACAACAAACTACTAAAAGAGATAATGACACTGCAGTATGAAACTTTTTGGCTTTCCCCAAGTTATTTTTCCATTATTCTTTGTATATCCTTGGGCCTTTAAAAGCCAAGTCCTAACTATCAGATGCTGAAAGCAGGGCATGGAAAAGCATGGGTAGGCAGAATAACCTTCACCTTGCTTGTAGCGGACAGAATGGCCTGAGGTCTGCTTTAGCTTGAGTTGAAGCTCTACAGATTAACATAACATTCAGTTATTTATTTTTAGTTTCCCTAAAATCCACAGCAAAACACCCAGTTTTCCAGCTCTGCCCCACCTATGAACACTACAATCCACACAACCATCACATCCTGATGTGGTTCCCAGATCCTGACCTACCTGATCCAAGACTCCAGTTGTCCCACAGCTATGGGGTACAGCAACCCACAGGCAACCCCAGCTTGTGCAGATCCTTATACATTTGTAGGAATCCAAGCTGGGAGTCATGAGGGAAACTGCTCTATTCTTAACTGAGTTGGGAGCTGCACCATCAACACTTCAGTCCCATATGGGACCAACTGGTTGGAAGTGTCCAACTCTGCATGCAATAGCCTTAGACCTGAGACAGGGCCACACTTCAGGAAGAGGCTGTGGTGTCCTGAACACCACTATCAGCATCTTGGGGTTATTTGCAGAAGGACTAGTCCAAGCAGTGGATTTAAGGCACCGGCTGTACCCTGTGCCCACCTGCAATTACAACTGGTTGGCAACAAGATCTGCTGCACCAGTTCGAGCATCCTGCACCACCAGTTCACACAGATGCCACTTTGCTCCTGCTAACACCTCCATCTGCCAACCAAACCCCTGACACGCACAGCTCGCCCCCTCATCGCATCACCACCCCACTAGGGACGATCGTCGCTTACCCACTAGCACGGTTATGACCTTATTGCTGGCATACTGCTCGATTTCTCGCAGCCACTCGGGGAGACACCGGAAGGATTCTTCGCAGGTGATGTCGTAGGTCAAGATTAACGCGTTAGCGCTGCGATAGTAACTCTGCGTGATGGACCGGAATCGCTCTTGTCCTGCTGTGTCCCAGATCTGCAGCTTTTGGCATAACAAGGAAGGGTGGTAAAAAGGGGAAAAAAAAAGTGATTTAACTTTTTTTATTGAATAACAGCACTATTTTTACCTAAAAAAAAAAACCCTTCAGGGTAAAACCAATGCTGTGAAAGCACTTAGCTCTTCTCCCCTTTGGTTTTCCCTCCCCCAGCATTTTTTGTTTCCATTCCTGCACTTGTGGATTGAAATGCAAGGCACAAAGTCAGCTGGCACTGCAGCCAACAGCCCCTGGAAGCCACAGGTCTACGGGCTTTCATGTGACTTCTAGCATATCCCTCTGCTGTGGACAGAGCTGCTGGCCTGGAGGTACAACAGAGGCACTGGAGGGAGAAAATCACTTTTCCTGCCCCTGAAGTCCAACCAACAGCAGCATTCATCCCAAGAAGAAATAAGAAAGCCTCTCCTCTAGCTCCCAAAGCTAATTATAGTTATCCTGAGATGATGCACTGATGGGTGGAAACCACAGGATTGAACAAGTAGCTCAGCTCAAGGTTGATCCAAGGACTCTTAACATGTTTCCTCTCTACAACTTCAGCCATCTCACCCAGTTGCTCACTGCCTGCCTTCCCAACATGTAGAACTGGTTGACATGTCCTTAACTATATCAAAGAGGTCATGAGTGTTTGCCAAACCCTCTGGTCCAGGAAGACAACATACATTTCCCAGTACAAACTAAACTCATACTGTTTTTATAATTTGACCATCTGATAGTTTTTGGTGGGTCATCAAAACCTCAACTCTTCAAAAAGGCAGTCAAAGAAACAAACATCCAAAATTAAAACAGTTCAACATAAAAGAGTACTTCTCTGCTTCAGCTTTTATTTTTTTAAAGCACCCCTCCCTGGAATTAAGTATGTGGAAAGGTGATTTCCAGCCAGAATCCTGTGTACTTTGGGAAGAAAAAGGTAAAGTATTTGAGATTTTTTCCATATATTCAGCAGCCCACAGCAGAGAAAACCTTATTCTTGCCCAGTTCCAAAGTCAAACTATGCCAGCTACTCATCATAAATGTGTTAGTTTGAAATGAGAGCTCCCAATAGCAGCTTTCAGACGCGGGGTATGATTTTGAAAAAGTACATTTTTTGCAGAGAAAGTAATTTATGGCTGGCTCACAGCTCCTGGGCACCTTTGTGCTTAATCTCTTGGCATAGTTGTATTTAAACAGCTGAAACTGGCACATGCAGTTAAGTGACACACAAAACCATAAGTGAAATTACTTGCACATGAAATTCAGACAACAAACGAGTCCCTGTTAAAACAAACCAGCCTCGAAACTCTGGCAGATGGAAAAATACAGATAATTTTGTTGTTGCTCGGCTATTTCCCAGGAAAAACATTTACTGATTGGTCTACTGGTTAACTCCAGCTTATATATGTTTTGCATTTATTGAGATGATCTCCAAGCTGATAAAAACTTGATGTGACTATGTTCTTCCACTAATTGAATATAACAGACATTGAGCAAAAGGGATTGCCCTGGGGGAGAGGGTTTCTTACTGGCTGCAGCCGTGAGTCTACCTGTGAGCCGGGTGCAGAAGGCAGGGAAGAGCCCCCGACCTTACAGCCACTGATAAACTCTTCCTGCACACAAAATGTACATCTCACACTTTACCCCACTTATTTCTGCCAAATAAAATATTTTACAGCAACCATTTTACTTGTACCATTTTTTCAGACGAACCAAAGGATAGTGCCTGGACTCAGCCTGCAAAAAACCTAGATGTTGATTTTCTTGGAGCCAGATGATGCTTCCCGCTCTCCCAATATTTGCACATATGTTTAGCTTTATGCACATGAACATTTCCCACCAAATACAGTAAGATCACAGGTCCATATAGCATAGCCCTCTGCAGCACTGAGGATGCTTAGCTTTGACCAGCATGATAACTGCTGCCTACTTGGCTGGAATTTGTGTAGCCTCTTAGTACAAGTGTTGTACATATTTTTGGTTTTATTAGAAAAGGCCAGGCAAATCCAAAGCCCCCTCAACTGCACAGTGCTGTCTCAGCTCATCTGTCAGTGAGCTTTAGTAGCCGCTCATATCTGATATGGCTTGCACACAGCTTTCATGCTAGCAAGTCCCTCTCCACTGACTTTCAAATGCAATTTTGAAAGCTGGAAAGTATTTTTCCCCAGAAATCTATCATTTATTTTCAAGTCTGAAAACCTTTTCAGTAAACAGCTCTGCTCTCTCATCCTGGATCCCAGCAGACGTGCAGGAGATGCTGCCTGGCACAGAAGCGGAGTCACGGCTCGGGCACTGTGAAATGAGCTAGCAGTCACAGAAGCGCCTCGTTTGACTGAGATGTCATTTTTATTGCTCTGCCGTTTCCCCGCTCATTAAATGTTTATTCTCACTAGCACTGCTTACTCAAAAAGTTTCAGCTACAAGATCACTCCCTGAAAGAAATCCATTTGCCTTTCAGACTCCAGAAGGCTCATTCAAATGCCCAAATGTATCATGCTAAGCTTCCTCCCAAGCTTGGTCACTGTTGCTGAGCTCCAGTGGCCACTCCAATTTACTCCACTGGTGGAGTCAGGAGAGGGACTTTGATTTAACAACTCATTATTTGCTATGTGAAATATAGCTGGTATACCAGTTACCCCTTGCTAAGGGTCTGTGAAACACCAGCCAGCCCCAAGGTGATTAAAAAAAGAGAGTTGCTTGGGTGGACACTTGTGCATTCATCAAACATCTGTGGGGCAGCAGGGGCTTACCAAGCTGACAAGTTTGCATTTAGCTTGCAGTGCTTCCCTGAACCATCCTTGTCCCTGAGATAGCCCGTGTTGGCGCGACTGCTCCCAACTTTCTCCTAAGGAGTTGGCTAGTCTTAAAACAGAATTACATCATGGGAGGAACAAGTCAAGTGCAGACAAATCCCGAGGGTGAGTTCACCTGTCTAAAAACCAGGCCTCAGATATAAGCAATGTTCTTAAGGCTCCATCTGTACTTGACAGGGAAACAGATGCTTGGAAAGGAGAGGTGTCTGAAGTGGATGGGATTCATCTTCCTCGAGATTGCTTTTCTCTATCCATTGACCAGGACAATCTTGAGACAGCTGGTTTAAGCCAGGTATATAAGGGAAAAAATGAACTCCACCTTCAGTGCAGTACCTAAGCCATTTACCAGCTTAGATCCTCTGAGCTGCTCCACTGGAGCTGGTTTTGACAGAAAGAAGCATCTCTGCTGTCTGAGGAGCCTGGACAAACAGCAGCCGTGTCCTGGCCAACCCCACTACACCACACGCCTGCTAATGAGCATCGCAACCACCAAACTAAGCACTGACACCAGAGGGGCTACACTTGATCCTCATTGCTTTCCTGCCTGCTGCTCTGTCTCACTTGCACAGCAATGTGCTGAATGTTAACTTGGTCTTTATCAGGGGAAGACATTTACACCTCTTGTCCTTCACCTGCTTAGGCTGGAAAGTCTTCTGGTCAAGGACCACCACTTGCCATAGGTTTGTACAGCTTCTCACACAGCAGGGTGGCAGCCTGCTGACATGATCACAGCTTTTAAAATTTGTCCTAAACTTAAGAACACACCACCTGATTTCCTTCTCAAAAAACCTCTGCACTGAAATACAGGTGAAAAAATTCAGGGTTGAAAATGTGCACGAGTCCACTGTTTCCATCCCAGCACAAGCTTAAAAGCGGGTCTCAGCATCACATCCAACCACTGTCACACTGCTGCCGCTCTCCCATTTGCTCACTACTAGATTTGATGAAGGCAGCAAGGAGGAAAAACCCTGTTTTTCACTTTGATGCACACGGATTTAATGTAGGCAGAGCAATTCCAGGAGCAGCTCAGGGACCCTAGACATCTTGACATTAGAGGCTCAGATAACCGTACTCTTCTCTCATCTCTTGAGCACCACAGCAGCTCTAGCGAAATCTCTACTGATGAACAAAGCAGTGCCAGCCAACATCTCTGGGTGCTGGAACCCAACCATGAATCCCATTAAAGCATGAGATTGGTCCCTGGTGTGTTTTGACCCAAGCAAAGTAGCTCTCTGCCAAGTGATGCTCAGGCTCAGTTTGGGAGTTAGCACAGGACAAGGACAGCTTCCCAGCAGCAGTTTGGTTGCAACTACCCTATTTTTGAGGGTGAAAGGGTTAATAATGTGGACATTGCCCTTCTCACTTCAACCTGTTGACCAAAGCGTCAGTATTGTGACCATCTCAACTCCTCCCAAATCCACAACTCGGCAGAAGTGGAAGATGAGCCTTTGTTGTGCAGAACCGCACAAGTCCAGAAGCCTGCTCTCCTCCACCGGCCATCTCAAGACCTCACAGGAGACGACCTTCACCAAGCACATCCCAGCAACAGATTTCGGTTTACCAGAAATGCCGTAAGCAGAGGCTGCACTAAAGTGCTTCTTTGCCCCTCCTCAACCCCAGACAGGCATGATCTCAGTGCCTCCTAAGCAAGGACAGAGTTTTGCAAGATCTTCCCCTTTTTATTTTCTCCCTTAGAGTAGGTTCACTGTTACGATCCTGATATTAATTGTGGAGAGGGGCACAAAGATCGTTAGACCCAGCACTGCCTAAGCCATGCCAGACAGCCCTGCAGTTCCCCATGTGCCTTCCAGCAGTGAGAAACCTCAGCTATGGTACTGCCACATGAGTTTACACTGAAAAACATCAGGCTCCTACCTTTACTTTTTCACCGTTTATCTCCACAGTTTTAATCATAAAGTCAACCCCAATCGTGGCTCCTTGACCAGGTGGGAAAAGCCCCTGAAAGAAAACAGTTTCGTTAAGTAAATTTCTATAGCTCTCTCTGGGTGCCAATGCTCACCCTTTTCCATCCCCAAAACTATTTCTCCCTTGATCCCTTCCCCAGACACTTATTTCCATCACATTTAGAGAGGAAAATGTGACATTTCCCCAGTATAAAGGTTACCATAATTCAATCCCACAGTGTTTTTGCAGCTTACACACCCCTAGTCGTGTAGCAAGTCTTTGACTTGAGAGCTGGGAAAACAGGAGAAGAAAAGGAGGATGCATACAGGGAAAAAGAGAGGGGAAAAGCCCTTCTGCTTCTGTGCAGTTGGAAGAGGCAGAGGAAGGGTAGATGGAGACCCCCTGTCCCACTTCCCAACATCTTGAAAGAGGTGGGAGCACCTGCGCTGTATGAGATGCCTTTGCTCCTGCAACCTCACACCCTCCCTCTCCCCTCCACCACATGCCATGGCATAGAAAGGTATTTCTGGCAGCTCCCAGCACTGGGGTCACATCCCTGCACAGCATTTTGGCAGAGAAGCATGGAGCAGCCACTGTCAGTACCACAGCAACAGCAAGGGCCAGCACGATGCTGCTGGTGTTTGACTGCAGCACCATCAGAAAGGAGCAACAGGAAAAAAAAAAAAGAAACCAAATCGAAACCCAACAAAAACAAACCAACAGAAAAAAGCCCACAGACCTTTTTAATTTCTGGCCTCCAGGCCTACAAAGTCATGTTGATTTTGGGGACCATCCATCCCCTGTAGCAGCTGTGCTGCCAAAGCATAAACACCAGAAGTGCCCACAGATTTTTGCTGTTAACCCTTTGGGGTCAACTAGCTTTATTGCCATTGGCTGCCACATGCGGTTGGAGAGTGTTTAAAATCACCATGGCTTTAAAAGTAAAATTAACAGTGAGGGGGGAAATTGCTGACAATTCCTAGTGGAGAGTGCAACAAAAACCTCACAACTTATGTTTTATAGTGCATCATGCAAAACCTTCTCTTGCCCCAGATCACAGAAGCCTGGTCCTTTCCCTGTTCTTCTGCCACAAAAAAAGGTCTGGTGTTTAACAAAAGACACTGGTCTGACAGTCCAGGACCCAGATTATTTAATTATCTACTAATGACAAATAACGGGGAGAGCTTTGTGCAGTGGCAGGAGAAGGCGCATGGGAGCACACCAGCAGATGTGCTGGTACTTATAACCAGTCTAGAACACCTCTTCAAATCAGGAGTTTTCCCAGTGGCTTTCAGAGAGGGATGAGCTCTCTCCAATGCAAGATCCCCACGAGGGCTAAGTACAGCCTCACATACAGATGTGCTGCTTGTGCCAGTATGTCGCTATAGGTGATGCATGTACCAAGAGTGCAGACAACAAATTACTTCAGAGCTGCAATGCCAGCAAAGCCCTCGGTGCACAGCCATGGGCTCTGTGCTCCCATCCCAGTGCTGTTCCCACCCTGACGTCCCACGTCAGAGAGGTGGCCAACCTTACCTGAGTGAAGCGACGGACTAAGCAGGTCTTCCCCACACCGGCGTTGCCAATTAAAACAATTTTGAAGAGGAAATCATAATCTTCCATACTCATTTACGCAGCTGCAAGAGAGAGAGAGTGCACAACATGACGTGAACCAAGGCAGTAGGGAAATGCCCTTTTATTCCTCCAAATACTCAGAACAAAGGTCTCCTGGCGTGTACATGGCTTCCCAGATAAGGGAGAAGAGCCCTTCCCGCTCCGAGCCAGGGCATCCACGTAGTCCAACGTCAGCTGCTGAGAAACCTCGGCCACGTTTTGGCTTTCAGGCCATCTCACCTGGCTGCCCATGAATTAGACACGCTGGTTTTCAGCTTTCGGAGCAAGGCTCCACAAACCTGAGCCACCATTTCTTAAGATTTCCCCAAATATTTATTTTGCTTTTAACTGTCGGCCCCAAAGGACAGCATGCACTTTGCCACCTTGTCAGAGGGGAACGCATAATTTATTTCTGTTAGGGCAATACCAAGAAACCCCCCAGGAGCTCCTCCAGGCAGGTGCTGTGTATGCACAGAGCAGAGCTGTGGGGCACATGCGGGCAGAACAGACAGGGACCTTAAAATAATTTAAAAATAAAGGCAGCAGCACAAGCCTTGTTGAACCTTACACAGTTGGCCTCAGCCCATCGATCCAGCCTGTCCAGATCCCTCTGTAGAGCCTTCCTACCCTCCAGCAGATCGACACTCCCACCCAACTTAGCCTCACCTGCAAACTTACTGAGGGTGCACTCAACCCCCTCATCCAGATCATTGATAAAGATATTAAACAGAACTGGCCCCAGTACTGAGCCCTGTGGAACACCGCTTGTGACTGGCCACCAACTGGATTTAACTCCATTCACCACAACTCTTTGGGCCCCGCCATCCAGCCAGTTTTTTTACCCAGTGAAGAATGCGCCCGTCCAAGCCATGAGCAGCCAGTTTCTCCAGGAGAATGCTGTGAACAATGATGTCAAAGGCTTTACTAAAGTCTAGGTATGCATCATCCACAGCCTTTCCCTCATCCACTAAGCGGGTCACCTTGTCATAGAAGGAGATCAGGTTGGTCAAGCAGGACCTGCCTTTCATAAACCCATGCTGGCTGGGCCTGATCACCTGGTTGTCCTGTACGTGCTGTGTGATGGCATTCATAACCTTCCCAGCACTGAGGTCAGACTGACAGGCCTGTAGTTCCCTGGATCCTCCTTCCTGTCCTTCTTGTAGATGGGTGTCACATTTGCTAACCTACAGTCAACTGGGACCGCTGCTAAATGATGGAAAGTGGCTTGGTGAGCACGGCTGCCAGCTCCTTCAGCGCCCTTGGATGGATCCCATCCAGCCCCATAGACTTGTGTGTGTCTAAGTGGTGTAGTAGGTTGCTAACCATTTCGCCTTGGATTATGGGGGCTTCATTCTGCTCCCTGTCCCTGTCTTCCAGCTCAGGGGGCTGGGTACCCCGAGAACAACTGGTCTTACTATTAAAGACTGGGGCAAAGAAGGCATTAAGTACCCCATCCTTTGTCACTATGTTCCCCCCACATCCAATAACGGATGGAGATTCTCCTTAGCTCTCCTTTTGTTGCTAATGTATTTATAGAAACATTTTTATTGCCTTTCATGGTAGTAGCCTACTTAAGTTCTAGCTGGGCTTTGGCCCTTCTAATTTTTTCCCTGCATAACCTCACAACATCCTTGTAGTCTTACTGAGTTGCCTGCCCCTTCTTCCAAGGATCATAAACTCTCCTTTTTTTTTTTTTCCTGAGTTCCAGCCAAAGCTCCCTGTTCAGCCAGGCTGGTGGTCTTCCCTGCCGGCTCATCTTTCAACACATAAGGACAACCTGGTCCTGCACCTTTAGGATTTCCTTCCTGAAGGATGTGCAGCCTTCCTGTACTCCTTTGCCCTTCAGGACTGCCTCCCAAAGGACTCTGCTGACTTTGGCTCCTAAACAGGCCAAAGTCTGCCCTCGGGAAGTCCAAGGTAGCCATTCTGCTGACCCCCCTCCTTACTTCTCCAAGAATCGAAAACTCTATCAGGTAACAGTTTGGCTTTAATATATTAAGAGGGGATTTTAAAAAAGAAGAAATAATAGATGCTATTAGAAGTATTCCTACTAAGACTATTTTCTTTAGTTTTGTGAGGATAGCTTGCTTGGCATAAAGCTCAAATGGGAAGTGAACACAGAGGAGCCGGGGGGGACCCAGCACACATCCCTCCCACCAAGTCCAACCTCCTTGTCAGGATGCAGAGACTGATGTTTCAGCAATGTCACAGGAGATGGGCAGGGTTGCCTACATGGGGAAGACCTACAGGGCTTCCTTAGGCCACCCAAAATACAGGGAGGACTGAACAGATAAATGTAGTTCGCTGCAGCTGAGCAAGGCATGAGGGATGAGTATCCACACCTCCATCTCCAGTGCACCCAAGGGTGCTGCTGACACCATGACCAGAGAAAAGGTCTGTAATGTCAACAAAAGCAACAACAAGCAGAAGAGATTCAGTTGAAGATTTTAGGCAGACAGAAAAACCCACAGACAAGGGAGCAGAAGGGCAGTGTCCAAACCCAGCTGTGTCCAGGAGGATCCAGGTATTACACATGGCACCAAAGACCTGTCCTCAAGGCTGGTCTAGGGTAACAGCATAAGAGACATCAGCAAAGAGACAGATGTACGAGCCATCAGTTGAGATACCAGGTAAGGTGATAGCTGAGCATCAACACCTAACCCACCAGTACCTATAGGTTAGGCACTGGATGAGGAGATAGAGCCAGAAACAGGAAGCACAGGAGATGGGTGAGGGGGGAAAAAAACATAAAAAAGTGTTAGGAAATCGTTATCCTCAGTAAAGCCCTAGATTGCTTAGAGGGTTTTTACAGAGCTGACAAAGGGAGCAAATGCAGCATGGGTGAAGCAAGCTCCTCACACTCAGCCCAGAGTGCCCTTTCCTGCTGTCTCCAATGGTCCTTCCTTGGGAGGGTGCATTGCCACACACCAGAATGTCCCAGCTACAAACCCCAGTCCCACCGTACAGCTGTGGTAGGTGTATAGTCAAACAGCCAGAGGGTACAAGATAAAACTGAGACAGTCTGAGTCTGCCTGACAGGGCACACCGAAACAGCTTCAAGCACCACCAAGAGCCTGGTGGACCTGAAGGCAAAAGAGGTGGAAGACTGACTCAGCTGCTTCATGTCTATGTGATCCTTGGCCTTTCCAGCAGCCTAAAAAAAGTGTGGCCACACCAGTTAGTGACTAATGATCTGTATCACATCAGCAGATGGCTAGCAGGGACACGGCTGAGTCACTACACAGACATGTCACTTCGCCTGGGCCAGTGACACAGCATGGCACTTGCCCAGTTGCTTTGCTGAGCTGGAGCTACGGTGCCCTGCAAAAATGCCGCTGAACAGCAGCAGCTGGAGCTGTCCTGAGGATGCTCTAACCTCGCCTTGCTCTGACACGCAAGACCTTGCAGCTCCCTCCTATCTCTTAATACAGTGCAAGAGTGGGACCTTAAAGACCAGCCTCAAAAAAATGCCCTTTTTTATTTTCTGGGGGTTTTATTTTGTGTAATCATTTTGTATCTCCATGCCTGGCTTTCCCAGAGTGGGACTGGATAACAAGAGTATTAAGAACATGTTGACAGTGTGCTTACAATGAAGGCTAAATGTTAATAAACCTTTTCAAGCTTTCACACCAGCCAACGTGAAGAAAAACATGATCATCCACTAAAACCGATTTCAAGACTAGCAAGACTTACTCAGCACTGGATACTTATCACTGGCCCCCCCCCCCCCCCGAGATTTCAGTTCTATTACTTGTACCCTAAACAATCCAATGTTCAAATTTATCTTCTCAGGAAGCTTAAAAATAAACTTCCTCTGCAGATCTTTGAGCTCAGAAACACTAAATGGCTCAGACATACCCTAGAGTTATGTCTGAACCCCTTCATTAGGCTCCAAGACTAATCATATGTGATAACGACCCCAAATGGGAACTAGAAGATGAGCCAATGCAATAAAACAAACAACGCAACGATGAGATTAAATGCCAGAACTGAAGAGAGACAAAAAGTGGGGGCACAGGAGGGGAAAAAGCAAGGGACTGAGCAGCAAGGAAGAGAGAAAAGTAATTTTGGAGGTGGAATGGGCAGGTGAGGTTGACCATCGCTGCCCTGTCATTCCCCTGCTCACCAAATTTGGCGTTTCTCCCTCCGATGTGCACATGCACTAACCTACCACAGCATCAGTGCTGAACACAGAAACATTGCATCAGTTACCGTTATGAAATCTCCTTCTGCAAGCCAGGCCTTTCAGCCAAGTGACCTTTGCTGCTGACTCAGGCTCACGCAACCCTCCCTCTCCCCAGGGAAGATGTGTCTCAACCTCTGCCCCGCTTGCCACAGCCAGGGAATGTGCATCTCAGCAATACATCACACTTGGAATTATATGCCTCTCAAAAAAAAAAAAAAAAAAAAAAAAAGAGGCAGCGTGCAACATTGTTTGCTTGTTTTTGGTTTTGGGGTTTGTTTTTTTCCTTTCTGCTTTCTTGTGTTTGCAGGCGCAGGGCTCTGTCTTGCATCACTGCAGCGGTTGAAGGCAGCAGGGCCGCAGCTGCCCGTCCCACCCTTTGGTAGAGACAAGGCCCTGCAGCAAGGGCAGGGAACGGAATGCCTGTCCATGCCTCAGCCACCCCTCACCACATTTGTTTAAATCACAAATAGGGCTGGCTACAGCATAGAGACATGCCCTATCGTGAGATGAAACAGCAGAGCCTGAGGCTGACAGCAGAGCAGAAAATTGGGTTTCACAGCCATTTTTCCTAGAGGTAGTTTATACAGCTTGCACCCCATCCAGCCCTCATGGCTCATGACCCCCCCCGGGCTGTTCCCACCAGCCTCACAGGGGATCACTTTTGCAGGGTTTTATTTCATTTGAGTAACTGCTCAGCTCCACTCCATCATGCAGCCCCACACATGGTCACCGCAGGCAGGAACGAAGAGCCAACGGGTGAATCAAAGCGCGGCAACCACCCGGAGAGGTGGGCACTTTTTGAATGCACCCAAAGGACACCAGGACACATTTCAGGCT